AGGGTTTGTTCCTGTTTAAACAATGACATTATCAAAATACTGAATTACAGTGCAGTTATTTCAATTATATAGCAATTAATGTGTAACAAAATAATAAAACATCTTTAAAAAACATTAAAGGGAAAATCAGTTACACTATTCTTTCTCAGCATAATGTAGTAATTAAATCCATCTTCTTACCCCATGAGTCAGTGCGCTATTGCTCTCCTTTTTACCCTGTTCATGCATATGCTTGCTGGTTAGCTCTGTCTGTGGATAAGTTTGGACCATGTGTTTATGAGTTTTGCGTGCTTGTCGAGACGTCCAGGTTATTCTGTAGTTGTGAACAGGCAGGTCTCCCTCTCTGGGGGGCTCCCATTGCAATAACACTGCCGCTGTGGCCTTTGCTTCATCCAACCTGAGGAGGGAAAGCTAAAAGTCAAACAACATCACAAAAGGAAAGTTCCTGATAAAAAAATGCTAGAGGAATTTCCTGGGAGTCGGATGTAGATGTGGGAGTAAAATCTTTCAGGGTTGGGCTGACCATTTGCTTTTTGCATGTATGCTAAAGGCGCCACGCTTCACATCACGCTGAGTACAAGCTACAATTTAAGTCATCACCTCTGTTATTAAAAGCTGATCCAAGATGCGACCTGAACTTAATGTGAACTTGTTTCATAACATTCAAATGGAAAAGACACCAGAGTGTGTAATTGAACAAAGATGAACTATAATTTGCTGGCAGACACAAGAACTATTAATCCTCTTGGCCACAGTTTATGAGTGTCTGACCAATTTGCAATGCTTAAAGGGTGCTATTTTAATTTAGAAAGCCATCTTGGTTCTTTTAAAATGTTCTCACATACCTTTCTGTGAACTCAGGTGCCATTTGTGTATCTGTCCATTCTAGACTCTGATTGCTCACTTTTAAATTTGTCGGAGGCTCAGGAGGGGATGGGTCTATAAAGAGATAAGAAAGAAGAAAACCTTAAAGAAAAATTTGAAGCATGATGTCATTTTTGGCCACTTAAAACCATCATATTTAGAAAATAATTGATTTTAAAAAACCAGTGTGAAATGAACTTATTTAACAGCTAATAACTAACGTAAAACAAAAGAAAACTTTATACTTTTCTTTGTATAAACATGAGGTAAAAGAAGAGGTGGGAAATTACTAACATTTAGTGATTAAATTAGTAACAGTAAGAGTCTTATGCGTTGGATTCAATTTATCTGTGTAAAGAATTCTGCAATTAGATAAATGACAACATAATGTTATATAAAAATTCTGGTCTTAATAGACCAATATAAAATAATACAAATAAAAAATATTGAAAAATAAACTCAATCAGAAACACCTTAATTTGTTTCTCCAACATAAAACCCTTTAAGCTATTAATTACCATGCGTAAAGTAAGTACTTTGTACTACGCATTACCTCGGCCTCCTTTTTCTCTGCTTAGATGTAATATTTAAAAAAAAGGCTGGGATAAAACATTAGCTGCAAGCCATGAAAAATAAAAGCTTGCCAGTATATTGATTATTTATTGTCTAGATGCACAGTATTTATATTGTTAAAACACTTTACAGTACAGTATTTTATTTGTTTACTTTTTTAACTCTTTATTATTATGTAATTCTTATACATTTTCCACATTTGTGTGACCTTTTTTTTTATTAATCTTTTTGCTGCTGTAAACACCAGAATTTCCCCATTGTGTGACAATAAAGGGATTTTCTATTCTATTCTATTCTATTCCAAAAATATATAACCCAACTTATCACAGTCACTAGGATAAAAATAATTAAAACATCAAATTTAGAACCTTCACTATTTAAGTCAAAAATATTTTCTAAATAGTTTCAAT